ATTTACTACTCATTGATACACTCTTAATTAAATTATTGCAACATAATCTGGGGTAACACATTTAAATCATTTTATGATCGTCTACATAAACTGCAGAAACAATTCTTAAGGCTAGCTTTAAATAAGGATAGACTTTCTCACTCCGCTCCCTTATTTAAAGATCTTAACATATTAAATATTTTTCATGTCAACAGATATTGTACTGGTCAGTTCATGTACAAAATCTTTAATAAGCACCCCAGTCTTCCAAAAAATCTATTTCAAGACTTGTTTGATATCAACATTAATATTCATCATCATTACACAAGACAATTGCATTATTTTCATATCCCTAAATGCTCTAAACTTTCCCTTCGCTATCTAGGTCCTAATCTTTGGAATGCTCTACCCCATGATATTAAAAAATGCTCCACTCTAAATATTTTCAAATCTTCATATAAAAAACTACTCATCTATCGATAATGTATAATACCAATATCATACTATACTGTTGGTTTTATACTGATACCTGATTTTTGTAACATTTTTACATTGTACATCCTTAGATTAATTTAATACCATTTTTATATACCTACATGTAACATAATATAAGTATTTTCTTTTATATGTAGTCTAGATGTCATTTTAATGATTTCTGTTAGACCGCAACATATACCCACTAGGGTGTCTAGCGGCTTGTTTTTATAGTGTACGAGGGTTGTCCCATAAGTCTTGAAATTTTTATTCTTATTCATAGAATATTTGAGATACAATGATAAAAATTTCACATTTTCTAACGTAGATATATTTCTACTATCTCTGTAAGTTTCATAGCATAATAAGATCATTTGGTAATGTTACAGATGATTAAAAATGGAATGTTGGGGGTACCCGGGGCAGAAAACAGGATAAAAATACAAATATGACGTAAAAATTAAGGATTTGGGAACCCCTGGATCAGCTCAACTATCACATGTTGAAGATAATTGATTGATCTTGATATATACCAATTTTCAGCCAAATTCATCAAAATCTTTTTGAATTAGAATAAAAATTTCAAGACTTATGGGACAACCCTCGTATATTATATAAGAATTATGAAATAAATTGAATTGAATTGAATTGAATTATATATTTATTATATATTTTTATTTTTTGGGATCTTGTTTTTACGGCGTTCGCATTAAATACAAACCACTCTGTTACGTCACGTATATGACGTTCGTTGAATTATCGCAATCAAAATGTCAGACGAAATGGAATTTCCATTGCAATTTATCTGACTATTCAATGTTCGCTGGATAATAATTTCCAATGGGATAAACGGACAATCCTATAGTTTTTCAAAAATATCACTTATATCCACTCATGGATATCAGTATCTTCACTCATTCGCTGTGCTCACTCGCGAAGATATCAATATCCACTCATGGATATAAGTGATATTTTTTCAGAGCCATAGGATATTCCTATATTATTCCATAGTTAGCATGATATCCATAGGATAACATGTCAAAATAAAAACGGTATTTTGAAATCAGTGGTAAAATATGATATTTTTGGCAAATTTTCACTTAACCATAGCATACGGTGTTTTAGCCATGACATGCGGCGCCGTATGCCATGGTTTATGGATTTTTGCTACTTCAGACTCAAAACGAGGCTAAGTGTCAATATCGCCGTATCGTTTGGAAAATTCGTTTTAAATCACTTAATTCCCGAAGATTCTGATGATGACTTTAACTATGGAATATAAAGAACATCCTATGATTTACTCGTGATATGATTTTAATCCACTCATGGATGTTGATATCTGCACTCTCTCGCTACGCTCACTCGTGCAGATATCATATCCATTCGTGGATAAAAATCATATCACTCATAAATCACTGGATATCCTCTATTTAAGATGTGATATTCGATAGTTTAAAAGTGATATTCGATGGTTTGTAAATTGTTTGCTAAAATATGATATCTTGATCCACATATCAAATATATCATCATGTGATATTCGATCTATATCCTCCTTGCAACCATGGGATAAAGCTTTACGTCCCGCTCCAAGCGGGCAGATATAGTATATCTGCCCGCTACGTCATAATCGCCGCTTGCATATTTGTTCATAATTTGTAACGTTCGCGGAATGACTGTAAACGGCAATGGAGAAAACACAGACAATCAGGGTCTGTAGTTAAAAAAAGGGAAAGAGCATCCACTTTATCAATAAAAAATTCGAGAAAATAAATATGGGAATATTTGAGAGAACATGAAAATCCGCCCACGGCCAAGAAAACAAAACTGGACATGAATATTCTAAAATATTTCCACGATTTAACAATGTGAACCAGATGACCAAGATTGGTATGGGATAAACATATCCTATAGTCAGGAGATTGGGATTATCCCTTGGCCAATATATAGGCCGGGGTTATGGTTATTTTATCCAAAACCTCCAAGTGCATAACTGTTGTATATAGTTTAGCATGATATGTACTTCTTTCTGTAACTGGAATACGATTCTAATATACAAGCAGCACATACGTATTCCCGGGGAACCATAAATATTTTGTGTAGGGTGTGGACATTTTTCTTTTCATTTCTCTAAAATCAGATTATTCTCATAAAATTCATACAAAGTTGGGCCTAAGCCTCTATTTTCGTATTCTGCATGTTAAGATATTTATAATGTAAAACCTAAGAGATAAATTCAATGTCTTCAGTTGAGAATAAGTATAAGGTAAATGTGTGAATTCTGCTTGTTGTTGCACTATTTTTATAATAAACAAGGTTCGATACGCAACACTGAATAGACTGCAGTCATAGCTTAGTTGTAAAGAAAACAAAAGAAGTTGGGACGTGGTCATGCTTGAATACGATTTTAAATATATCGCCGTTTACATTTGTTGAAATCGGCCTGTATTAATTTCAACAGGTGATCGGTGTACAAGGGCATATATTTGAGTTATTGGTTTAACGATAAGTATGACCTATGAGTGGGCAACGTTTTACAAATGCATGAAACAAATACTCCAATGGCCTAATCTCAATTTTCCTGCATAAACTATTACATTGAAATGATGGTCATTTGCTCTCTAACTTCCGCACCGCATACGTAACTTCGTAACAATTCAATAAGCCAAGACAGGACCGCTATAATCGCTACATGCCAGTGTAGATTAGGAGGAACTATTTGATTATTTGGCATTTCCATTTAATTTGAACATTTTGCATTTTTATTTTTTGCTTATTTATTTCTATATAACCTACTAGAAATAAAGATTAAATGAACAAAGTAAACAAGGTAAACAAAGTAAACAATAGCTAGGCAAACAAAAGAAAAAGAAAAAGTTGTTGCATTAGATTTGGATTAGGAAGTGTTTACTGAGATAACGATTAAACGCACAAAGAAACAATAGCTTTAAGCAAACAAAGGCAAATAATGTAAAAATTTAATAAAAAAGTTACATTAGGTTCAGATTAGGTGATGTTCCCATTTTGAGGTTTTTGCATTCACAAGATTCTGGATTTTAAAGAAATTGTAGCACATTCTCAATAAATTTTTATAATTCTGTTGACCACTTAAATTCATGGCATTCCAATAATTTGAGAATCAGTCAAATGAATTTATAAGTTAGACATAGTATGATCAACAACATTCTATTTTTCAAGTTTTGGTTTCATGATAAAACAGTGAGTATATCAGATTTGGAGGTGTTTTGATTAGCCAGGTATTCGGATAGGTTTTATTGTAGCAGGTTTTCAAACTGTGCTCCTTTCAGATTGATTCGATGACTCATACAACTCATGCAAATATTAAATGAGTTCTGCGAATTTGAAAAGCTTATAGTTTAAAGAAATAATGCAATAAATACACTACTAAATATTTCTACTAACATTACACACAACACAAAATGAGTGGGTCTATATATCTCCATAATCTATAGCATAGGTTCTAGGCCGCTCAAATACATTGAGTTTAAGAAAGTTTGAAAAATGTCTAAATTCTTCCAAATAATAATAATGGTAACCATTCTTATGGAAAAATAATACATTTTTATAAAAATCTTGAGTTTTCCTGAAATAAAATGTGGGGATTTTAAGAAAATAAATATGACAAGGAATGGCGGCTAGATCTGATTCTCTCTTTAACTCTATATAGTTTGAACATCACTATTATCAGGTTTGTTACATAAATAATGTAAATAAGGGTCGTGTAAGGCAATGTTTCCTTATTATTGACTCATTAATAGGTTAATACATAGATTAAGATTAATAATTCACTGATTGAGTCATATTTCATCATTTAACTAACTCACATATATTTTTCCACATTTATAATGGGCACTGTACACTTTTTGAGTCTCTCCATTCATCCATGTATGTATTTTGATTCAGGAATATTAAAAATATTAAGAAACTGAGACAGAAAGATGAAGATTTCAATGTATTTTTAGCATTTTCATTTAATTTAACCAATAGTTACTCCAACCATGTAGTTTGTTTCTTGGTTTCTCCATGTATTCTTCCCATTCAGTTTCTAAATAGTTCTGTAAGAAGAAACACGTTGGGAGAGTTTAACCTCAAATATATCATATATCAGGTTTTGTGGAACTTCCAGACTGAACCTGATGACCCATACAACTTCACGTATTAAATGAGTTCCGCGAATTTGAAAAGCATAGTTATAACACGATATATCTCTAAAGAAATATTTCTATTAATGCTACACTAAAGAAGTATTCATACATACTCTATAGACAGCTCTAAATATTCAGTTTTAGTGACTGATGGGCAATTATGGCTACTGGATACCAAGAAACAGATCATTTGATCGTAAATATGGAGAATGGAGACAAACAGGAAATTGTACATGAACTTCTAGATAATCTCAGAGATGAGCAATTACCAGATGGTAAAGAATACAATATCTTCTTCTCATATTCTTCTGTAGACAAAAGATTGGTACTTGAAATGGTTCGGATCTTAGAAGCTCCGCCATATAACCTTATATGCTGTTATGATGACCGTGATTTTTTACCAGGGCGTACAAGTATATCTGAAATCAACAGGGCTATTATTAGCAGCATGAAGACAGTGCTAGTTTTTACCCCTGAAGCTGTAGAAAGCCGGTGGTGCCAGACAGAGGTCGATACAGCTATCACTGCTGCATATGACAACCTCATAGAAATCATTCCCATCAAACTGAGACCATGTGCTCTACCAGACACACTAAAACACATCAGTTATTTAGATGTCTCACACTTGGATAAGAATCAGGCTACAGAACGTATTCTCCAAGCTGTAGCTAAAGACACAAAGGAACCAGAATTACCACCTCAGGTTCAACGTAATATGGTCACCAATGGGTCATACTTCAACATTAAAAGCAAATGGCAGAAATGTTCCTTTGTCTTGGATACTACTGTTGATGATATGAAGATGGGTCTCGATGTTAGAGGCATAGCTTTTAGCGATCTTGAAATAAGAGACATCATTGATTCGATCAACTCATCAGCTTTGATGAGACACACTTGTGTTTTACATATGAACTCTTCTTGTTTACCTGATCACTTCACAAATCACTGTGGTCTGATATTCACTATTATTTTGCTCATTTTATTTGCAGGCAATGGCTTCTATATATATATGGCCACACAAGATATAGTTTTACCTCTGATTATTCTTATAACACTGTTTACATTTATCATTCTTGCAGTAATTGGTTTGCCACTAAGTAACACATTGCTAAAAATCAGTTTCAGAAACATGCTCAGAAATATTTCAATCAATAGAGTTGTCAACAAAAATGTCATATTTACAGTGACGTATAAGAACAGGAATCCTGTTTTGGCAATAATGAAGTATGACATCACAATGTGCTTAGAGTACATTGTTAAAGAAAAAATCAATGACAATCCAGAGTTTGATGTTGAGGCATACAAACTAGCAGTTTTGAAAAGACACCTCTTTAACTATGCTCTGTCTATACAGAGTGGTACACAAAAAGCAACTGTTGTACGTCATGTTGTGGTTTATGAACAAATGTGTTTCTGCCAATTTGTTCAACAAGAAAACCAATAAACTCATTAGGTCTACTATACTATAGTAGGTCAAGTATTCTCTAGAGGATTTTTTCTCGAGTAGGTGCAAAATTGTCATTTTCACAATTTTTTAGTGTATTCAAAGGGGGGAGGGGCAGTGGCAGATATGGAAGCTTATAAGGGGGATGCACATTTCAGGTCATAAAAAATTTCCAGGTCTCCCTGGGGGGGGGGGGTTCACAAATACAACATCCCAAATATGCTCAGTTCCTTAAACCCATGGAATAAAAAAAACAATGATCTGCAGTGTAGATTCATGTTAACCTTTAGCGTGCTGCCGGCGGACTCGTCCGCCGAGACTAAAATGTCTCTCACAACTGCCGGCGGACCCGTACGCCCGATTTCAAACTTTTAAAAACTTTACTTTTTCGCGCCATTCGTATTGTCCAATTAGATTGCCCGATTTATTCAGTGCCTAACATGACTTCCTGTTGACCTAGAATGGCGATATTTCGAAAAATAATTCTCAATTCAACAATTTAAACAGTGTTTTAGTCGTTTTTAGTGAACGAATCGTACAAAATGGTGGACAAATACGATCACAACGAAAATGTGGAGGAAATGAATTACGATTTCGAGCTCTTTAGGCTCTTGGAAGCCGATAACGGTCATCGAAAATAGAAACTAGAATATTTTCTGAACTGAAAAATTGAACATTCGATCGCTGCAAATTCAGATCTGGATTCTGACCAGACGAAGAGGCGGAGCGGCGGATTCCGGAGGAGTATTCATGGTATATTTATGCCCAGTCGTGTTAATGTACGAAAAAATTCATGAGAACATTTTTTTCATGAGCCAGGCCACTGTATCTTCCCTTTGTGAAAATTTTATCCAGATTCATTTAGTAGTTATTGAGATATTAATTATTATATCATTTTTTGCACTCTTTGAAAAATAAGCCAGTTGCGTGGGATATATTTGCTGAAATAAGGCAGCATGGTAAAGGTTAATGATCATTGACCATCTTGCTTGTGATTATAATGTTTTTTGTCCTTTAAAGACTACATTATTGTAATTTATATTCTTCAATGCTCTTTGCTTTATTTTTAATTTTATCCAGTTCTCCTATCCTATTCTCAAATGTTCAATAGATACATGGGTACTAATAAGGGGAGCATTACAGTATGTATTTTGAGAACAATCAAATATTTAGAAAAGAAACTCCTAGCCTTACTTTTTAAAATGTGGAAACATTGTAGGCTTGGGTTACTAAAATGAAATTAATATGAAGGAGGTGTACTGTAGTTTAGGTCCGTCCTCACCCTCAAAATCTTATGGAGTGGTTCAATCCAAATGGAACACATGAGTCACTTCCATATATGGTTCTCTATGTAACAAATGAGGCAATTGATGCAGTTTCATTATACACAATCATATCAGAACTATCATTTAATCAATAATCAATATTAGAAATCATTTTGAAGAGCAAGCTGTTGAAATCAGAGAATACCAATTTGCAATTGACTATTTCAAGTCACATGATCATACATTGCCTTCTGGGAAAATGGAATTTTGCTGTCCTTAATAAGTTCAGATGCTGCCCACCTAAGGCAACCTGCCAAAGGTAGCAGAAGTCTTTTGCTTGACTTAGATACAATAGGGATTGGTAATATATTTATGTAATAATAGAGATACTGGGTCAATGATGACTCCTTCTCTAAAGTAAGAAACACTATTTAAATGCAATAATGAAATGGAATATACTCCTCACAGAGTTCTTGGACGTGGAACAATAAACTTATATTGGAATAAACAAACTATAGGAATATATAAACCATCCATTGGATATATATTATATATTGGAACATCTCTAACCCTATACTCAAGTTTAAATGGAGATTGTTGAGTGTATCGAAAATATAACTGCAGATAAACAACAGCACATGATGAGGACTGTTCTCGATAGCACAAACATTGAATCATTTGACCAAATAAGCGATGAAACAAATAATGGAACAAAGGAGGACATGCCTGACCATGTTTGTCAAATAACTGTTGCAGAGCAACTCCGTAAGATAGGAGATGAGATTGAAAATAGCAGAAAAAGTAATAAACACATTATCGAATACCCACATTACAAATTGGCAGTCGAAATAACTTTGGATTGTCCAGCTTGTGTTGTCATGCAGATTTCCCTCATCGTGGCAGCCATTATACACAGAATGCTAAGGTAAGAAATTCTTGCTTCTTTTTGTTTTAGGAAGTGATGTAATGCCAAAAATGAGCTATTTTAACATTTGGTCTATAAGCTATTCAAAGTTGAATAAATGTTTATTTTGTATTTTTACCTATCACCCTCCTTAGATTTGATCTCTCAACAGGACTTTAAACTTAGAATTAACTTTGAATGGCCTTATATACAAAAGGAGAATCATCTCAACTGGCAGTATGCTCCATATTCCTCAGACACAATGTCTTATTAAATTCTAGCTGCATCAACATAAGTTTCCATTGTCTCCCAAAGGAAAATGCTCCCAACAAGATTCATCCTTTTATCACCTGACATTTGTACGAATCCTGTGAAAGTAGCATATTGGTATACTGTAGTCTTTGAAAGTAAATATATAACGTAACCTTAAATGACCAGCTTATGTAATACGTAATTCATAGATATTGGCTTTAGATCAATTTCATAATCAGTGCAGTTCATTCAAGAAAATGAAAATTAAGATAGCTTCAGATCAGGTTAGCTCTATCGGCTATAATGAGTACTGTACAGTATGCACCAGGGTCGAATCTGGAAACCAACAAGGGGGGGCCCAAATTTCAGTTCTGAGAAAAAACACCCGCAGTTGTGCGAATAAAATTTTGGCCCCTAAAACCAAAAAGTGGCCCCAAATTTTGAAATCTAGAGGCCCATTTTCTTCAAAATTTGGCCTAAAATTAAAAAATAAGGCCTTAGGGTTCTGGGCCCACCTAAGGGGGGCCCCTGCCCCCCCAGATCCGCCAATGTGCACTGTATGTCTGACTTGAGTTGCAGCTGGGAATATTTTCTATACATATCAAAAGATATGGTTGGAGAATGAAGTTCATCACAGTCATCAGTATTTTTTATGAAAAATATAGAAATAACAACCAAAATATATTATGGATATTCAAAAGAGGACATTTAAATCTACAGTATGTAAGAAATATCAAAATTGTCCAAAGCAGGCATAACCTGCAGTAGACTGATGAACTTCATTCTCCAAACCGAGACAAAGAGTCTTTTCTGATACTTTATTTTGGAATTATACAGCTACAGTTTTGCACCAAAATTGTATTGGTGACATTATAACTACAGTAATTGGAAGTATGATTTACTGAAGATCTGTGTCAATATTCAATTATTCAATTACATAGATTTCTATGATAAAGAGGAGGTTATACATGTGATGACTTTACATTTAATAAAAAAAATGATTTTACTATAACTAGTATACTAGTATGTTGCCCTTTCAGATGACAACTAAGAATGGCAAATGTGGTGCACAGCCTTGATCCCGAAGTTCTGATTTTGTTGGTGAACTGTCTGCCCTGAAGTAGAAGATCACAAATGATGATCTTACTGAGTGTGCACAGACAAAGATGGCATAACGGGTCATCTGGAGACACAGGGAACTGATAAAGACTATGCTGCCATCTTTCAATGGAATAAAAGGATTTGCCATCTTTGTCCTCAATATTAGATTAAACTATTAAACAGTTCTGAATGTTGTGTTGATTGTAGACTTGCACAACAAAATATCATAAAATTGTAAAAAGGTGTTGACATTTTGAAGGAAACATACATGTACTTGCTTTAAAAAGGATATAAACCTATAAGCATAGAAACGGCATTAATCAATGATATCTTATTATATTAAAAGAACATAATATATAAAGTTTTGTTTGTGTAGAAAAGCATTGCACTTTATGAATTAAAAAGTAATTAAATACTTGTATATTACATATTATTCACACTTTTGTATCCTAATATAATCTTGTATGCAAGATATTTTATTGAACTGGAGTTTTTTGTGCTTTGATATTTTCTCAGGAAGTAACGCAGATCATTATTAATTAAAAACATTTTGGGTGTTTATAGGATTAGAGTTTACACACTCTTTTAATAGAATGAAATACATGTATTTGTATAGTATTCAATTAGACAATTGTTATTTGAATCAAAGCTCTAACAGAAACTAGCTAGTGTGCAAATATGGATTGTAGAAATGACAAGTTCTGATTTGACATTGATTGTTTTCACAAGGGATATTAACATCATTCTACAGTATAACATTGATTACTATTCAGGCATATAATATAGCTTGATATATGGACATATACACTGCATGGAAATCTTTACCAGTTTTGGAATTATTACCTAAATAATATTACCTAAATAATAGTAAAAGAATTATTAGCAATAAATAGTATTTAAGAATTATTGTGTTAATTTCTATTAACGTGTACACAACAATATTCAAGTGGGGAATGTTCTGGAAACTAAGCCATTGGCTGTCTTTATGTTTGCTAATACTACTGAAGATAAACACATCAAGAAAAAGAAAACATATAACATACATCAGTCACAAAGAAAACAAACCCCTTCTGTGATCTAATGTGAACACATGTACATAATTATTTGAAAAAATGATCTGTCATCAAAAGAAACAATGTCTAATACCTCCTCCCCACCATTCAATTTTCACTCTCACAATCCTAAACAAAAATACCAATATAGAACTGGTATAACCCTTCAGAAAATGGTCACTTTCACTCCTTCCATCTCCAAAATAAGAATGATCTGGCTAATTATAATACACATCTTTCTTCACTTTATGCCAATTAACATTAACTGCATTCACAATGTTCAACTTATTCCTTGCTTTTAACATTCTTTCCACTCTGTTCTACATTTTAAAAGATGGCCATGATACTTATTATCTTTAGGCTATCCAGTGGTGAGATTAGGATGATTTAATGCACTGTAAGCCACATTCCTTTAATAATTAAGTCAATTAGTAAGTTAATTAAAACATGTTAGGCTCTTGTGAATTGAAGGTTTGCTAATAGAAAACCTGCATGCCTACATTTCTCATAATCATTCACCATCCTTTCACAATTTATAGAATCAGAAAAATGGCAGCACAAAAATAACAACCTCAACCCTTATTTTCAACCAAACCAATATTCAAAGGCACCTGGATTGTGTATGTATGTGGACAAAAATGTAGCACAAAAATATCAGTACATCTGATATGAATTGTGTTTACTGAAAAGTGTCAAAAATAACTTGGCAAAATGACTTTTTCGAGACAAGTTAAAAAAGCAGCAAGTCAATTTTTCGCGATGAGGCAGAAGTCAAAGGAGGTGTGACCACTGGTGTGATGTAGTTATCACAATGGTCATGTTTGAATATGTTATAAATAATGCTTGGCACCAGATTAGAAAAAAACGAGAATTGTAGATCTTTAGGCAGGGCGTTAGCTGGCCAAAATTCTTTAAAAATCATGGAGCTTTTCACATTTTCAAGTGATTTTGGCTTGATTTTTCAAATTTGAGCCACTCCTGGAATTTTCCAAAATACTGAGCCCCTGGTAAAACTTGGCTACAGGCCTGAAAAGTGTGTATGATAGAACCTGCTGTGTGAGCTATTGCAATCACTCACTTGTCCATCTGTCTGTCCGTCTGTCAACAATTGGCCAGTTTTAAAACCTCTGTCAACAGGATTCCCATTTTAAGTTATTTTTGTTCAACATCAATACAGAAAACCCCCCTTGACTCCTGGTCTATTTTTAAAATGGCCACCATTTTTGTCTCGCGAAATTCACTTTTGGACCATTTGCTTTAAAACCGGGTGTCGATAGAATTCCCTTTTTAAGTTATATTTGTTCAACATCAATACAGAAAACTCCCTTATGCTGGTGCAAAAGCTCACCTGCATTGTAAAAAGTCATGTTACTGTAAAGAGTAGTTGAATGAAATAATTTTGTTACAAAAAATCTGCGAAAATTACCTCCATTTTTTTATTTTCTGCCATTTTCTGCCATTTTGAGTAACACAATATGAGCCCAGTACCCACGGTACTATTTATTTTTAAAAAGCTATCATGAATTGAGGAATTGACAATCTATTATGAAGGACAGGACAAACTACAGTGTTACATGTATGAATATTCCATTGTGGACACTGATTATGATGAATACTAAGAACGATCTCTACATTGTCTTGTTGGTTAGGCACATTGACATCAAACCAGTGCTTAGTCTTAGTTCTTAAACATTCTATCCTATTTATATTGTCCCTAGTGTACAATTCCTATGATATATGAGCACTTACTATTCTCTTATTAGCAAAATCAAGATTTTCGAGTTTCTTATTGATAAATCAGTACTTACATCCGCTTGTTTAGTTTGTTGCAGAAACCTAAGAATGTGTGTATTTAATTTCATAATTTTATCTATAGTTATGTCATCGGGAGACATAATGTTTAAAAAATGTGAAATTGTTTAGACGGACTGTCAGGACAATGTTTAAGATTTTGTGAAAATAATAAGATTCATTGGTCGAAGGAGATGTAATAGAATAATGAAGCTCTGGCTAGCGATAGTCCAATTCCCATGGTAACTTAATTGATTCTTTATGCCAGGATGTTTTTATTTGAAAGAAAGGGAACAATGATAAAAATCCCAAATGTCATAATTAACATGTCATTGTGATGAAAACTTCATTTTTACCAAAATTTTATGCGCCAGTAGCTTTTTTACTACACAATTAGCCTGGATTAAATCATTTCTCTTCTGGACCACTTATTGAATTTCCCTGTTATTTCTATGCACATTTACTTATACTATGTACAGTGCATTAGATTTCTTGTGTATATTTTAGTTTCACCATGCCCTCCCCTTGGGTGGGCCAAGAAAAAAAATTGGGTTCAAAATAGATTTTGGGCCAAAAAAGGCCTTAAGGCCCCAAAAAGTGGGTCTTTTTGATCATTACTGGGCCTTTTAAGGCCTTATTTTTTAATTTCAGGCCAAATTTGGCCAAAAAATTTCAGAATTTTGGCCTTTTTTTGGTTTTAGGGGCCAAAGATTTTTTTTGCGCAGGCGCAGAAGTTTTTTTTCTGACCTGAAATTTGGGCTAATTTATACTTATTAACTAAGTATCTTATGCTCTGTCAAGAAAGAGATCAAGAAATTGTATGAACATAATTTAAAACATGGAATTATAACAAGTTTATTGATATTCTCCATGATCAATAATCATCTTATAAGTTTCCTTTTCACCCTATGCAGACAGAGCCTGTGGGAAATATTGGGTGCGGCGCAAATGAGCGGAGGGTGCGGAGCTAACGGTCATTTTTGAATTTAAAATTGGGATATTTCTGAAACTAAGCCGTTTTGGGACTTCAAATATACCAAGATATGTGTATTTGACACCAAATATCAATAAAATTGTGAAAATAGTAGTGCAATTCATTTTATAGCGACGCAGTATGCCTTAAACATTTCCCAGACCTATATATTTTGAGACTATCCTTTTAATACTGCGTCCCCAGCATTCATAAAAAATGGTGTTCAAGATACACTACCCATGCAAATTATTTTTGCATCTTGGAAGCCAGGCAGTATCTGTGTGATTTTATAAAAATTCGGAAATGTTCTTCAGATATGAGCCCCTCTTAATATTGGGTGCGGAGCTACGTTTATGGAGCTGCTCCGCACCCAATATTTAGAGGGGGCTCATATCTGAAAAAATTTCCGAATTTTTATAAAATCACACAGATACTGCCTGGCTTCCAAGATGCAAAAATAATTTGTATAGATAGTGCACCTTGAACACCGTTTTTTATGAATGCTGGGGACTCAGTATTAAAAGGATAATTTCAAAATATATAGGTCTGGGAAAGGTTTAAGGCACACTGCGTCGCTATAGAATGAATTGCGCTACTATTTTCACAATTGTATTGATATTTGGTGTCAAATACACATATCTTGGTATATTTGAAGTCCCAAAACGGCTTAGTTTCAGAAATATCCCAAATTTAAATTCAAAAATAACCGTTAGCTCCGCACCCTCCGCTCATTTGCTCCGCACCCAATATTTCCCACAGGCTCTGTCTGCATAGGGTGCTTTTATGTGTTTCCTTTTCTGCATCATTAAGTTGGAATAGATGTGTTGGAACATGAATTTGAAATTAATATTTTGATTTTTAGGTGGCTATTTGGAGTTTCTATTACAAAAAACGTTTCTGCAAAGAATTTTAATTGCACAATGATAAAAGAAATGTACAGTTAAACTTAACATTTATCTTAATATAATTATTTCTATTCATCATGTAATCTTCCATTTAAATCCTTTAAATAAAGATACTGTAAGTTTCTTGTCATGAAGATATGTTGTATTGAAGTTGTTAGAAACAAGTCACTAAATATTATAATCAATGGACAATTTCCTGGACTGAGATTATTTGAAATGATGATTCAAATTGCATGTTGCAATTTTTCTCTGTTTCGATTGATAGTTCAAACTGGGTGTACTTCTATTGTTTTTTTGTTTTTTTATTTATTTATGTATATATTTTTGGGAAATTTAAATAAAATAGGAAAAGAGGTGGTGGTGGTTATTCTTTTGCCGCATATTCACCACCCCCCTCCCCCTTCTGCTAACCTGGCTGACTTTTGTTTAAGATAACAATTTTCGTTTTTTTTTTTTTTGTATGAATAAATAGACATGCGATATATGGTCACAAGTTTTTCCACAGAAAGCCTGTATAGAGATAAGATAATTTTGTGAAATATATCTTTTAATGAGAGATCATTGTAGTTTTGAAATGCACACATTTTTATAACACATTCACATGGCAGACATCATCATTGAAAAATGGCGATAGTAAATTTTTGAATTAATAGTTGATTATTTTGATTTTTTACAAATTAATCTTCTAATTATTCTCTACTTAAAACATATTAATTTGAGCACTTACGGGTAGAAATATTACAGTTCAAGCTAGAAAATGTTTCTTAAATTGTAATAAGTATAACGCAAGTATATGATAGAGATATTGTTTATCCATTATATTTTACATTTAATAGTCATATTAGCTACATAAATTGGTTATAATTTTGTAACAGTCTTTAAATAGGCTGGTAGAACTGGAAGGTGACAAGGGGAGGCCCATTCCAAGTCAGAAAGAATGAAATATTCCTAATACCAAAAACTCATCCCAAACTTGAAAAATCTAAGGCCCATTTTGATAATTTGGCCCAAAGTTATAAAATTATTTTCCATTAATTGAGGCCCTACAAAAAGGTTTTTCATATCTGCCAGTGTGTCCATATCCCAAGTAGACCAGGAGCTTGAGCAACAATTAGTGGATATTAAACATGAAAAATTAGCTGAGAATTTTACTCGCTTTCATAATATATATTTAAATCAAAGGTCTTAATGAAACAAATTCAATATATACATGTACATAATAATACATGTATGAGAATATTTTATGCTTGGTTTATTTATATGAGTTTCTGTAGCTCAGGAAAAATCACAAAAATAACATCATTGGATGATAGATATAATAGGCTATAATCTCCAGGGCTGAGTCTGGGTTTACTGGCTTTACTATGTTAGAAAATCTTTAATTATTGTTGAGGGATAAAACCTCTCCTAAGGCATAACTTCAACATTTAGATTAGTTATTTACCCTGTTAGTGAAGTTATCCAACATTTGCAATCATAAGGGAATTCTTGATTAATAAGAGTCTGTATTAAGGAAGACAAAACACTTCAGGACTTAAGTTTAGTCGCCACATAACATTAACCAATTAGATTAGCTCTCTGAATCATGTGACTTTTTCGAGGAGGCACATGTGCATTGGACCTGCATCGGAATTGACTCTATGAAATCCTGAAGAGCTTAGAGAAGTGGAGATGAAAATTGTAATTCGTAGGCTTCATAGTGATCTTAACTTGTTGGAATAGGTGTCTTGTATATACAGCACCTCCGATAAGAAAACAACTTTACCAGGAACTTACCAGTTTACTTACCATCGTGGTGGTTTCTTGGTGTAGGGTTACATTACACTGTGAACTTAATGGTCTTATCTATTAGGAACAAGTTTATATGAGTAGCAGAGGTGCAATTTAGAGGCAGGGATACACAAGTGGAATTCGCAGATCAAACCTCAAGGTTCTATCCATGTAGCCTGGACTCATCACGCTATTTGAAAATGGAAAACAGTTTCAAAATGTGGATTTTCATTAATCTAACTGTGATTTTTATTTTTGTTTGTGTCACAGCTGGGGAAGGAGGGACTGATGCCCCGATTGAGCTAGTGACAGATTGCTGTGCCTGTGGGGTTGCAAAATACCAGATGACGTTCCATGGAATATGGTCAAGACAGACACATCCCAAAAAATTTCCAACGAGTAAGTGTTTACAATTTGGTTTTATGTAATTCTTCTAATATTTTTATATTTGATTTAGAATTTAGTTAATTAACACATTAATTGTCGTTAAAATTTTTCACATCAAAAAATATAATGAACAAGCGCCTGAGAGACTGTTGGCATTCATCCATTATGGTTACATAAGATAATAAGATAAAGACACTACTAACACTTTCTTTTTGCTGATAATTATATTTTAAATAGTTTATTGGCTAAATGTGCATTGAATAATTATTTTGAGTTTCACCCCATGTTTTTTCATTGTGGTTTGCATGCGTGGGTTTAGTTTGACATTGTCATAATTTCCTTTTCAATAACCGCAAAACGATAACCCAGCTGTATTAAAGGTGATATCAGATCTACTAAGCAGCAGTCTCTGGTTTTTCTTTTGACTTGCGATGGTTCTTAAGAGTTATCAGCCACAGAGAACTATTCATTTATACATATACAGTATGTTTTGTATCACTTTTTTAGTGCTTTTGGGAGAGAAAAAGCACTTAAAACGATACAAATCAGCATTAACCAGCATTAAAGCAAGTGGGTGGAGCACCCACCTGAGATTTTAAAAACAGGCTTGCACCCATCTGAGATTTCATTTGCACCCACTTGAAAATGAGAAAAATCATGTAAAATCGGCATATTTTAACCAAATTTGGACTGAATTGTGAAATAGAAAATCTTGCACCTTGAGAAAAAATAAACAAAGCTTACACTTTATTTGAGGAAAACGAAGATTTTTTATTAATGCATTCATTTTAACCACATTTATTATTTGGGAGAATTTAAACATTTTCCCCCAAATTTTGTACTTTGAGACTAACAACTTCACCATATTGATAACATATCATGGAACTTTTGGGAGATATCGTATTTTTGAGATTATAAGAAATATATTGGTGATAGATCAACTGTGCACATTGCTTGCAATATTGTCACTCCCTATAGATCTGATTCTGCCTTTAATACATCTTGGACATCTTTCTTGTCTTCATTAATAATAAATGATACGCTTGTGAAGAGAGTCATTGTAGTCATGTTTTGAAATGCCAAATAGCCAAGTAGAAAAGAGTGGAAACAGATGGGAATAATATAACAAGATTTTTATGGAAGAATGTCAGAAAATTCATTAAACCCTTCTCGCTTTAGAACCCACCCCCCCCCCCCCTATGGCCAAATATCCTTTCAAATTGATACTGTATTTCACCATGTAGAGCACTTTTCAAGTGATGTGGGGCCTGAAATGTCAAATTTGAACCCCCTTGGAATTTTTTAAAAACTGAACCCTCACAGCAAAGCTTAAGATTGGTCTAAGTCAGAATTTTGAATAACAGGCAATGGATAATGTTTTAAAAATGGCAATTTTGGTGTTTATAAGTGACACCTCTACTTTATAAGTGACATCTCCTCTATCTTTCAGGAAACAGCAGAATCCAATAAACTCATTTCATAAAAAAAGTCAAGATGACTTCTGATTCCTGTGGACTTTTGTCTGATAATAACGTTAATTTCCCTGGAATTCAATTCTGTGTCATGTCATTATAGATCTTTAGAAAAACCATTAGTCACAATACTATTTGTCTTGTTGACGCTTGTCATGATTAAGAAGACTCAATATTTCTTGTCATGCAATCAGCATTGACAAATTAGACCTAATGACTTACACATGTCACCAGTTTTAATGAATAAAGAGGATTACTAGAGAATTTTGTTATTCATTAATCTAGGTAGAATCTCTCTAAACTAGAAACACTGTATGTTGTTTACAAGTAATTTTGACTCAAAAAACATTTAGGCTAAATAATTGAAATATTTAGTATTGGCCTTTCTCATCTTTAAAACTGACATATTCCAGCTATTCAGAAATATGTAATTAATTATGTTTATTATTAGCTTTTGAGGATATAAAAAGAATACATAAATGCAAGTGTTTTACTTCGAAAACAATAAACAAAATGAGAAACACAGAATTTAATTACTATGTCCTTAATTATCATACTTTAGTTAGGTTTCCTATTAATAAAGTGTTAGGAAGCTAGCACTTAGAAAAAATCTATCATCTTAGCAGGTTGAACCCAGAGTTAATAATTTAAAGATTATCTAGTTGTTCCATCCACATATTCCAGGATCTACACAAGTGTTGCCAGTTAAATAATTAACTTAAAGGATCTTGTTATATTCATGTATTGTTCTTTACGATTTAAACGTGGCTATAATTAAGTAAAAGACCTCAAGCAGGCCTGAATGAAAATTATAACAATTTGCACTTTTCTAGACTCAAACAAGGCAATTCGCTTTTTGCAGAACATTTGACAGAAATATTTGAAGACTTTTAAAAACATAAAATTTAAATTATATATGCTTGTATAAAAGGCAATTTAGCAAGAGTTCTACTGCATAGGAAAATTATCATTAAGTCCTGAGACAGTGCCAGTGGTCCCCTTTGTAGGGCAAAATACAATGGAAAACATGGAATTACCAAGGAATAATATGCTGAATATATATAGGAATGTAGTTGCCACAAATCTTGATTAAGGTGGATCATTCATTTTAGTGAGGAAAAATGACAAATTTTCTCAAGAATGGGCAATATTCAGTTCTCAGACAAAGAAATGTTTTAAAAAACACATGGTTGGAACAGATCCTTAAAATTACAAAACTTGCCCCAACTTTCTTGTATGTTTCCAATTAGAGAAGTATCTGGAAGTATTTTGTTAAAATAAGACCTTTCTGGGTTTCAGTTAATTGTTTGTTCAAGACCTGATTAGTACAATGTGTTCAGTTCTGGGTGGTGAAAACTGGCTAGAACTCATACCAGAGATTCCTTCTTGAGAGAGGAATGATCTGTTGATTGTCAGAATAGAACTGTACTGTCAAAACGCAAATTAATGTGATCATGATGCCCTCATTGGGGTTTCTGATAGGAGTTACTTAAAGGGGCTCAGCATCTTTGGTCACTCGGTTCCCATCGTGGGTCTAAATGCAGTGAAGACTGAGGATTCAAAGATGGGGGCTCAGTGTCTATTTCTGAGCTCGAAATAAACCAACACAGAAAAAATAGAAAAAAATAACTTGCACAATCAACTTTCAGACCCACTGATGGGAGCCGAATGACCAAAGATGTTGAGCCCCTTTAATTTACATGCTTTCTTTTTAAGAATATTACTGTTTGAAAAAGATTCTCACATAGTTTCTGGAATTCAGAATTTTTAGTATCAGAATCCTTCGGACTCATAATTACACAGGTTGGCATTTTCATAGGATAATGCCTCGTAAGCTCAAGCAGAATATGTCAATTTATTGGGAATTATTTAGGTTGAAATGAAACAACTTGTTATGCTGTTACATGGTTATAATTGGCTGATTATTCCTAGAAGTCATTGGAGAATAAGTCTATATTGCATACTCTTTACTAGATGCGGATTCTCAATATTCTCACATAGATAGTAGCTATGCCCATATTATCTGAACTGTGATTGTGCCATTATTATCCAAATTGTCATGTGCCATTGTCATCACCATTTTGACATTGATTGTATTCTTATTATGTTTGGTGTGATTGTTTTATTGACTGTGTTGCTATTATGTGCCATTGATTGTATTCTTATTATGTTTGGTGTGATTGTTTCATTGACTGTGTTGCTATTATGTGCCATTGATTGTATTCTTATTATGTTTGGTGTGATTGTTTCATTGACTGTGTTGCTATTATGTGCCATTGATTGTATTCTTATTATGTTTGGTGTGATTGTTTCATTGACTGTGTTGCTATTATGTGCCATTGATTGTATTCTTATTATGTTTGGTGTGATTGTTTCATTGACTGTGTTGCTATTATGTGCCATTGATTGTATTCTTATTATGTTTGGTGTGATTGTTTCATTGACAATTTTTCTATTATTTGCCATTGATTGTATTCATATTATGTTTGGTGTGATTGTTTCATTGATTGTGTTTCTATTATATTAGGTGTGATTGTGTCATTGATTGTGTTTCTATTATATTAGGTGTGATTGTGCCATTGATTGTGTTTCTATTATATTAGGTGTGATTGTGCCATTAATTGTGTTTCTATTATATTAGGTGTGATTGTGCCATTGATTATACAACACCCTGCCTGGTGGAATTTTTTCCTTCCTATCTCAGGTGGCATAACACAACATGTGAATGTATTTTTTGCAGACACTCATCTGTTACATTGGTCGAACATCGTTGGATCTTCCCACAGTCGCCACTACGTTCCATGGCAATATGGTAGCTACTCTTCACGGGGAGTCAAGGAGGTCTGCGAGTATGGGTGGTCAAAAACATTGGAACAGGAGATGAGAACCCATGTAAGTGTTTATACTCATTTTGCTACCGATATATACATTGTATATAATCACATGTAATGTACTTTGGTAAGGTACCTGTAAATTGAATGGCTGTTGAGCTAGCCCTGCCTTGTCACTCAAAAAACTTCCTAATCGACATCCTCTGAACACAGGCCTCCAGAAATCGTACCTCCTTCTTCCAAGGATCGGAGGAAGGAACATAAAAGATGATGTCTGGAGGCATGTGTTTGGAGAATGCTACTCAGGATTTTAACATTAATCTTTGATTTAGACTAAACAAGAAAAAAGTTTAATGGTCTTTTTTTCAAAACGACAATTAACAGCTAATTAACCTTTTTGAGTTCATCACCATAGTCTATTCAACACAAGCCACAATCTGCATGTAACCATGAATATTCTCAAAGTCTATATTTGGCTAAAAATGCAATTATATCAAGCAGAATATCAAGCGTTAAGAGGAATCAAATAGAAAATAAACATGGAACATGGGGTTATCATGGGTTTCCTTCTAATTCATAGAACCACATGGTCATAACTGACATGGTCATGTTTTAAATGGGAAAATTCTAGATATAGCAATCACGAAAAAAGTTCATGTAATTCATGCACATGAAAAAAGAACTTGAAATGTGAATACCTATTACCTACCTATCCAAATGTTCAGATTAGACAGGTTTTACTGTACATATAGTTTAAAAGTAGTTTTCAACATTCAATTTGTATGAATAAGTATAAAATTCCTAAACCCATGAATTGAGAATAAAGAGAGAAATCAGATTGATATTTTCAAAGTGAGGCAATATTGTGCAGTTTTAAATTCTACCTATAACATCCAGGCCCGTAGCCAGCTTTTTCCAAGGGGGGGGGGGGGGGTGTCACTTTCCCAAAAATACAGGGGGGTCACTTTTACAAATATGGCCAAAATTCACATGAAAATGCCAAGGATGTTCAAAAACTGCATGATTTTGAAAGAATTTTTGGCCGGGGGATGGGGGGTTGCCCAGACCCCCCTGGCTATGGGTCTAACATCATACATATTATTGGTAGATGCTTTTTACTCTGTATGATGTGAGTAATGTTTTGTTTTTGCAACCATGGGCTCATTATGGAAATCAAGGATTCAAACCATTTTGATTTCCCTTGGTGATATTCTCATATCATGGGCTTAATTTCATTTTGAGAAATATGATACTTTATCAATTAACTTAGATAAGTACTCATTAGTCTCATGTCTCTTGGGTAAATTATAGAAAGCATAATCGAAGAGCTCTCAATAGATATTTATCCCCTATTGGGGTTAATGTGAAAAAATATATATTACATATATTCCAAATATTGCATGAGTTCGCTACAGGGCTCATATTTTAGGCAGGACATTTCACTATATAAACAATTAAGCATAGACATTAACATGCAAAATGTCATCCCTGCCATACAGATGCTGACCACCGAACACCAATCGCCTAACACTGTCCACAAAAAGTTGGAGACTATAACAAGTGGTGACATAAATATGGAGTATGTTATAATCTGGAGCTTATAACCCAATGCAATTCTTTTCAGTAGAACTTCTTGAATATCTATTGAGGAGATCCAAGATCAATGATTTTATCTGAGGTAGCATTTCATGTTCAAAGTGTTGGATTTCAGGTTTCCTATTGAATAATCTCGATAAGTAATTGACAGAGAACAATTTAACATTAGAATGGTTCATCGGCACGTTTAGTAATGTTGACATGGGATGACTTAATCTTTTAATTCGTTCAATCTTTGAAGATCACATCTCTAGGAAGTATTCATGCTTTTTCATCATATAGAAATGTAAATTACATTTTGCTTTGTAACAAATCATTTTGATGAATTTGTGCTTTCCGTCTTTTAGCCGGGGGAAGACACCGCCATCATAATCTATAAAGAGAGGCCTTTGAATGGTTTTTGTTTGACCGAATTAATCAGAATTTTACTCTGAGTGAATTCTTCTACGTTAACAGGAAAGAAGTCCTACTATTAAGACAGGCTCAAATCTGGGACTCAAACCGCTTAATACTCCTGATGCATTCCTAGTAAATTATTTTTACTTGGAAAGGAGTCCTACTATCAAATCTGGGGCTCAGAACTCTCTAAATATACATGCACTCTTGGTACATTCTTGGCAACGATTCTCTAAGAATCTATCTGAGCCTTGTGTGTGATACTTACAGTATGTCTTAATTTCTTTGAGAGTCTTCATATTCATGTATTGGTGCTATAGTGTATCAGTATACATTGTCTTCATGAATTATTTATTCATTAACATATCAAGAGGTTTGAATTACTTGATTGCAATTTTACATGGCGCACATGAGCCTTTGTTCTCCTTCAAAGTGCGTCATGAAAAGTTGCTTACAATCTCACCTATGGGCGAAAAATCTTTTTTACGGAATTTGAATTATTGATGTCAAGTACATGCTTCACAGAAAGCTTTTAGACTGCCATTCAATCAAGGAAACTCTGCTTATTTGTAAAGATATTAGATGGGACTCAACTGACATAGAGTAGAGCCAGAGACTAATTTATTTGCATTGTTTTCAATAATTGGCTCTGCATCAATTTGTCTCCCAGCTTGAATACTTTATCAATTTTGTCAGCAAAAAAACAATGTAGAATAGGCCTTAATTGTACTAAGCTCTCACTGGCGGCTTTCTTCATAAAGATGAAATGCCATAGACAAGTAAAGAAGAGCTTAATTAGAAGCGCATTCCCCTATCAGGTGAGACATCCTTTATTTGAATAAATTTTATGTTTATTTTTGGATTATTGATCCGGATACAAATATTTGGTAAATTGGTAATATCCTAGTTTTTTAGGAATCCCCAAATAAATCCGAATTACATTGGAAATGGGCAAAATGTTTTTTCAAAAATTATTCCATTTCTATTAGGTTGATTGAGATAAGAATAAGATTTATCCTTGAAGATTGTTTGAATTCACCAATGTTAGCATAAATTCTACAATGCAACATTATTATGGATATATTTATCCGGATCTAATTTTGGATTAAACAAATTCACCACACCTGGTGTTTTAAGAATTCAGTTATAAAAATTTAGATCGCTCAAAATTCTGTGTATTTTAGGTTTATATATCACATTTTCACCCAAATCTACATATAAGGTGGTATTTTTATGTCACCACCAGAAGTGGTGACATATTGTTATAATCTACTTTTATGTGAACATTTTCGGCATTCAGTGTTTGATGGTTGGCATTTGGTGGTCAGTGGCATCTGTAACAAATGGTAGGTGTTGAAAGGATTGGTATCGATATGGTGAACTGAATTGAACACATGTTTCTCTTAAACCAGTCATCCCAAAATTCTGAAAATTTTACACATCATCAATTTAATAATCATCTTTTGAGTGAGACTGCAGGTAAAATAGGTGATTAGGGGTTCTGCCTTACTCTTAACGCCTAACGTGAACCCGAGGTCGTGTGTCATGATCTCTGCGCTGTAAAGTATTGGAATGAGTTGAGTGCCTCCAGAGCAATAAAGTAAAAGGATGAGAATGGTAAAATTGATTGAACCATGGACTATTTCAATTTAGCACTAACACGAGTTAACGACCAGCAGCATAAGCAAGAGAGCTAAAAGCTAGTTAGTGACCACTCAGATGTAGACAATATAATGTGAATCGGAGCGTGGATCGGTCCATTACGAAATTCTGTTCTAAAGTCTGTCTGATGTGAAAAAGTCAGTTCACCCTAGTAAGGATCAAACCCCTGTGTTAAATTAAGAATGGCAGAGACTGAAAGCGTAATTGCCTTCATTGTCAGGGTATAATCCGGGGGGGGGGGGGTATACTTTAGTCTTGCATCAAACCCTTGTACACCCCTCCCCCTATACTCATAAATACACACCTTCCATTCTAGAGTAGTAGAGAAATAGGTAATAAAGGAGACCAGAGATTCAATGCAAGACAAATTGTTTTTGATGTCAGACAGTGCTATTCAGTAATGTCAAGGCCCTAGGATGTGTGATAGCATCACGCAGATGTAGACTTCATTTGAATCCCATGGTGTATCTCTTTACACTCTGAGATGATTTAAATAAATCATAGTTTTTAGGATATTGAGGTTTCTGGGAATTTCCTATGGTTTTGACATTTGGAAGCTTGCTTTGGAACATTTTATGGCCTAGGACTTGTTAAAGTTTAACTCAGGATCTGAAATAGAAGAATTATTTGGCAAATTAATTAAATTAATTAATGGCAAATTCAAATTGGTGAGGTAAATTCAAATTGGTGAGGTGAATTCAAATTGGTGAGGTGAATTCAGATAGGCAAGGTAAATTCAAAAAGGCAAGGAAAATATATTCTCATAAGACTCCATTTTCACTGTTTAGATTTTATAAAAATGTCAGAATTAATATTTTTTCTGTAGAATTTTAGCGAGATGATTGCCTCGCCTGCCTCATATCTGGCTACGCTTATGTTAATTACTATATGTTAAACGTATAACTCCCTTCTTTAGTATTAAGAAATTCAAGTATCATCAACAGACCCCCCTCCCATAAGTTAGAGAAGACATGATCCATTATCTCATTATGCATGGCAATCTTGACTCAATATCCCTCATGCATAAGAATTTGATATAACTAGGCCTTGAGAACCCTTTCGCATGGAAAGGGGGCTTGTCCGTATACATAATACCCCCTCTGAATGTCAAGTCTCATTTGATGATATCTTAACAGTATAGATTGCTTATGGCAAATGGCCTTTGAGCAGTGAAGGAGTGAAGGAGAATTGTTCTAATGATTTGAGTGTTATTTCACAGAACTCTAATTGCATTTATCATTCACGTGTTATTTCATTTGACATCATATTGCTTTCACCACTCCAAAAATTCAACCTGGAACACAGAACACAGAATTGAGATAAAAATTTATTGTGAAAATAACTGTATAGACCCAGTATGATATCATGCTGACAAGATATAAAAATTAAATTTACTGCTGAATAAAAGAAATGATTAACATAGGGTTTCTAGTGTTATGCATTTTGCAACTGAGGTGTTCTTTACTAACCTTAATGTAATAATGATAATATCACAAAAATGTGGCCAATATTAAAGAATACATTTCTTAGAATAGGATTTTAGACTATGAAATTTAGTCTTGCTTCACCCCTCCCCTTATGTACTTCACATTCCCCAACACTACCTGGGGAATGAGATAAGGGGGAGGGAGGGGGGGGGGGGTCTTAAGCAAGACTACCTGAAATGGGCAATAGCTGTAATCCTCATTCTAAATTACCTTAAACTATTTTTGATTTCTAATGATAGTTGATTCTTGATTGTGCGTGTTTATTGAAGTATCTGCTGTAGGTACATCCTGTTACGATTTGCTCATTGGAAATTATGTATGAAATTAAGAGAGCCGAGAGATGACATCCCACCCAGCTAATTTTGCGTAAAAAATAACAGCATATTAATTCCCTGGGAAGCCACAATTCAAGTTGATTAATGATTATAATAACATCATATCATGATTCAAAAGGTTTCACTTGTTATAAGCTCCCATTAGACAAAACTGAAAGTGATAATGGATTTTAATATTCTAATCCAGTAGAACATACATATACATATGTGTATGTGTATTGACCCTAGCTGAGGGTGATAATGGATTTTGATATTCTAGTCCAGTAAAACCTGTATATGTGTACTGGCCCTTGGTTCTACTAAAAAGTGTTCTACTTAATAAGAGGTGTTCCACTTATATAGAGGTCTGATTAACATTAAATCAATGGATTGCTGGCCTGGGAAAAGGGTTCTTCTTTTAAAGGTGTTTTATTTATACATGTACATGTGTTCCACTGTTATTGTATGTTGCACATTTAGTAGGAGAATCCTGACTGACTGCTGTGTATTTTATTGATGTTTGAATATCATTGTGCCCAAGCATTTGATATGGGGCTTTAGATTCAGGTGTAATCATTATTGCAGTTTAGAACAGTACCTTTGTAATTGTAAACCACCTAAACTCTGTGTCAAATCGGCAAAAATTGACATTAGTCATAAAGCGCTTTACAAGGCAAGTGTAATCCAAAGTGTGACATAGTTTTGTCTGGTGGCCATTTTGTAACAATAGAAAGTGATATTTGTCCTTAACATTTGAACATTATAATTGACGTATGAACACATTTCCTCATCATCAGTTTTATATGGGGTTAGGACCCAAAGTACATGTATTTGTTTTTCGTAATAAATCCAAATATTTCCCCGTTTACCAATTGATTTGGATTGAAGCATCAAATTGTTTCACTACCCCGAACCAGTAGAAAGGAATTATACAGATATGTTGTAGCTGACAACCTAATAATAAGCAATTTTCCAAGGACTTCATTTGATGAGAAAAGACTCTCTTAGGTATCACGAAAAAATGATGCATTAAATGTTAAATCAAGACCGATGTAACCTCATTAAGAACTACATTTTGTATTACATAAGAGTAATAATTTCTGAATTGGTCTCTTGGCAGTAATTTAGAAAAGCTGAGAGTTAAAATGAAAATGTATCAATCGTTTAACTCATAATGACTGACACTCTTGTAGCAAATATTGCGTATTAAAAAATTAGTTGATAGTAACACTGCTGAAAATGACATATTTTCCCAATTTGTATATATTAGTGTTTAAGCATTCCAGTACTAGAAAATGCAAATTGAGATTACATTAATTGTGTGCAATGTGAAAGATGAGCCCTGAAGCAGATCTATATTGTATGAACTGATTTATTCATTAACAAAACTGAAAGGAACTATTGCCGGATATTGAAAAAACATGAAACAAAAAAAGGTTACTGTTAAACTGTTTAATGTTGTGTTTCCAGAGTGACCACGTGAGAACTGTCATCAAGACAAGTGGCATTTGGGTGAACTTGAAACAGTCTCGATGGGCAAGATTCAGCGTTAACCGCACCCATCACTTCATGTCTATGTTAACTATGCTTGGGCCTAGCCCCGATTGGTGTGTTGGTGAGTGTATTATAATGACACTATTCATTGTCAAGTCTAATGGCAGCTTGGAATTCCGATTTTTAAAAGACACTTTAGAATTAAACGTTTTGCTGAAAATGACTGAAACAAGTTTTTGATTCATGAAAAATATTATATGGATAATTCAGCAATATTTTTTAACTTTATATTGAGCCTTTAAATCTAAGCAGTTACAGCTACAATTTCAATCTTAAAATTTCATTTCAATTTTTATTTAGACCATTGGATTATTTACTAGCTTCTTTTTATTACTTTCCTTCTAGAAAATACATGCACATGTATATTTTCCAGGTACATCTGCACTGAACCTCTGTATAAACAGCAACTGTAGCTGGGCTGGTGATCAGACCATAGAGCTCTATCCCTGGGATGCTGGTACTGACAGTGGTACTGAATATATGGTACGTATAACTGAGGGTGTCAACCTTTGAATTTTTCTTAAGTGATGAAAACGTTTTATACATACAATGTAGTACTCTACTGTAAAATGTACTAGTTTTAGTAAGTGCAGTGCTTGGAATAGGTTAAGTGTTCAACATAGGGGATGAAGATCTTCAAATTTTTGTGCATATTCACACAATTATCGCATACTCAGGAATAAATATTTTGAACAGATTTTGAATGATGTTTCCTCCCTTATAAAATCCAATTTTTGAGAATATTAAACCATATTTGCATTCCAATTTTTATCAGTATGTCAAACATTGACATAGAAATAAAACAGCTTGAAATCTATCTTTAGAAACCTTGAAAGGAAATAACAATACGCTTATAATTTTGCCAGACCATTTCTTGTATACTTGCTGCAATGAAATGCTTTGTTAGTAATAAAATGTTTTTCATGTTATTGTTTCAGTCACCCAACAGGAAAACAGATCCCCCAGAGAAAATCCATAGAATCACTAACACGTTTCCCAAGCAGACAAAATCTCCATTTTACGATCCAGATAACCCGATAAAACCGCTAGCAAGACTTGAGATCAAACGTATTTATCCTAAACCAGGTGAGTGTCCAGGTATCCATTGATTCAGGTGTGAAAAACCCTGTTAAATGTGAAGCCAAAACCAAATTACAAATTTATTAATTACATTGATAAATATGAATTTTTTTTACTCAGAAACAAACAATTTTTTAATAACAGCGTATAAATAAATATTGTGAAAAGGAAAAGTGTTCAGATTAGTGTTCACAAAAGTGTTCAGATTAGCAGGTGTTCAGATTTCAAGGTTTTCTTAACACTGGGGACCAATAAAAAATGTTCACATTAAGAGGTGTTCAGATATACAGATTTCACCGTATTGCTCTCTGATTAACTATTATCATCTCTAGAAATGAAGCTGAAAATTGATACATAATGCTCGACTTCATTTTTGTTAGGAATGCCTGCTACCTGCGATGCATCAAGTGAAGAAGAGGCTGACAATGAAGTCGGCACAGATGACAATATTGGTGAAAATCCAAAACCTGGAATGAATAAACCAGGCATGCCTCAAGATCCAATCACCCAGGAGAGTGAGTATATTCATATAGGGACTAAGCTAAAGGGACTTTACCTCTTGACTACCTGGAGTGACGAGATTTCTCTTCACCTCAGAAGTGACCCTGAAACTCAGAGTGGCGAGAAAATCCATCACAAAAATTTTCACTAAAATTGCTCTTTTTTGAACAATTTCCATCCAATGTGCACAAAAATTGATTTAAAATGTTTAGAAATGATTTCTGCCATCTAATTTTACTAAGTGGGGCATCTGAAGTTGTATAGATATGATGAAAAATGTCAAAAGGTGGCAAAAATGAAAGTATCTCTGGTTTCAACCAATTTTAGAGCCTGGGATTCAAGAGGTTAAAATAGGCTGGGCAAATTAAATCCAATTGGGATATAATTTTACCAGTGGACTTTAATTCCGAAAGACATTGGTGAGGCAGGCATTGGTGAGGCAAAAACCTCACTTGAATCATTTCTGACTTTACCTTGACATAATACTGTTAATTTCTTCTTTTTGGTGTAGCTTTATGGGGAAAAAATAATGATAGTACTCTTACAACTTAATAGAAAATCAACCTCGTTTTGAGGAGGCAATGCTGTAGAATAAGCTATTGGTTTTATTGTGTCAGATATTATGCATTGTTTTCCTATACATTGTTGTACAATACTAGTGAGACATTCAGAGACTTACACATTCTACAATTGCTTTTCTAAATAACTCTTTTGATCATCTAGCCTAGAAATCAACTTGTAATACTCACTTCATTGTAAATATATATTGTACAATGTAATGTCATGATTGTACCATGGAGATATTATTATTGTAATGTGGTGGTGCTAGTGAACATGTATTGTATCTATCTTGCATCTCTATATTAACCTTGTAGTGCTTATGAAATGCAAGACTTCTGATTGGTCAGACTGGAGTGACTGTAGCGCTACCTGTGGTGTCGGGATGCATTTCCGTAAACGTATGTTCATTATGGAAGGCATAAATGAAGATATGTGCCCCCATGTTGAATTAATGGTCAAAGAGAGATGTCTCGGAGTTGAGAATGAATGTGATGCTAAGGGGCCTTGCGGGGTCACAAACTGGTCTGATTGGTCCCCTTGCTCTGTGACATGCGGGAAAGGCATGCAGGAGCGACTTCGTCATTTCATCAAGCCTATGGAAGGACTAGAATGTAACAAGGAGATGTTCCAAAAGCAGATGTGTATAGGAGGGGAATTCATGGACTGTAACAAGGCACGGATGATGCAGAACTGGCCAGGTCTGTCACGCATGACTTAGACACACCTGCACGCCATCTTTAGATGAATTGTACAGTACACTCAGTTGTACAGTATCTACAATCCTGCACGCCATCTTTAAATGAATTGTACAGTACACTCAGTTGTACAGTATCTACAATCTTGCACGCCATCTTTCCACCAGCCAAGCATGTTTCAATAACCTGCAGTTTTTACAGAGTGCCCCAATGGATATGATATTGCATGGCATTTAGCATGTTAATATTTTTGTCTCTATGTTTTTATGCATCCTCTGTCCCTTAAATGCATGACTGAATAATATGACACCTCTAACATATTTAAAACAATATACCTCAGTCGCTGCTTCCAATTTCTGTAATTTTGAGTATCCTATTACTTGACTTATATTATAAAGCTTTTCTAGATCTGCTGCATCAGAAATACTTTGAATGTTAGTTATGTCTTGACATCAATAGCTACCTGCAATTGACCATTTTCCAAATAAATGGAAAAATAAATGGCATCATGGGTGTTGGTACTAGAATGCATGGGAATATATTGGGAAGAGTCACTCAATAAAGGTTAATAACTGTGCAAATCAAAGTTGTTTTGATAGAAAATTACACACCGAATTCAAATATGCCATAAAATAGAAGAAATGTTAGTCTTTAATGGTTAATAATGCAGATCTCTTAAAATCTCATTAAAAACGAGAATTTAACGAGATTTCAAGCCATATGGAAAAAGGACCATTGCCCTGCATGCATGTGAATACTTTTATTTGTATGAACACTATATTTAATAAGTATTTTTTGGTTTGTTTGTTTGTAAACTTCATGTTTCACCTTTTAAATTCTAGTATTCTAATTTGATTTCATGAGCTTGTCTCCTAATTTACCTTATTTTTGTGCTTTTTATCCCAGAATAGTGCATACTGTATTTATCTTAACATGAAATGTCTTTTTATATTCACTTTTATCTAGAGCTTATCGAGGTTTGGACACAAACAAATGGAAACACAGAAGAGTTTTTGAGGTATCATGCCATTCAACATTTGCTTGGAAAAAAATGTTTGAACATTCCATATTAATCCAGGGTCAATATTTATTGGTTCAACAGCATTGAATTGAAGTATTAAATTGATTTTTTCAGTTATCTGTTCCCAACCAAGAGACGAGGGTCCCTGTAGAGGTAACTTCCGGCGATGGTCTTATGACGCTGAGACTCGCAAATGTATGCCGTTTACATATGGTGGTTGCCGTGGTAACCAAAATAAATTTGGAACAGAGGAAGAATGCATCAATAGCTGTATAGTACCCCCACCAGATAACGGTATGTATTTGCACTGTAAGTCCCACAATGTAAGTCCCACTTGGACAGATAAGGCCTTTACAAATTAATTGTTTGTTTAATGGGAGTTGAACCCTTATTTTTACATTTGAAGACAGTGGCAGCTTAACCTGCTTAAAATGACATCATTAAAAATTTGTACAATTATTTTATACACAAAAAAACAAATATGTTAAATTAGCCCCCCCCCCTCCCACAGCATCAACAACCGTTATCATTATAATTATTATTATACATAACAAACATTGTATACATGTATAGGTTTGTAGCCAGGGGGCATTCAGGAGGTCCGAGTGAACCCCAAAAATTCAAAAATCAAGCAGTTTTCATTATTCTGAGCATTTAAAATTGATTTTAGGCCAGAGTTTTCAAATGTGAACCCCCTGGAATTTTTTGAAAAGTGAACCCCCTTGGCAAATGCTGCCTATTAGCCTGCACATTGTCACAATCTAAGAATTTAAATATAATTAATCTAACAATCAATTATACCATAAGACCTTATGACACTTTATTTAGATTTGGTTGTTATTCCAGGACCACGCAAACAAATGCCTACTGATGACCCACATGCTGGATTAGAACATGAACGAGGCATGGACAAGAAACCAAGAGAAGAGGATAACATCAATGGTGCTGATGAGGAGGAATTTGGAGGCAAGAAGATGATGCCGATTGACTGTATGGTGACCCCTTGGTCTGATTGGGGACAATGCTCCGTCACATGTGGACGAGGGTTCATGGCAAGGAATCGCATGATAAAGCGAGCAGCTGAAAACGGTGGGAAGAGATGTCCGAAAAAATTGAAGCAGAAACGCAGATGCAAAAAAGAAAAATGCCGTAAGTAATTAAAATATGTGTAGTTTTACAAAAATTTACTATGATACTCACTATTCTGCATGCTGGAAATTATAATCATAATATCACCCTATGCAGACAGAGCCTGTGGGAAATATTGGGTGCGGAGCAAATGAGCGGAGGGTGCGGAGCTAACGGTTATTTTTGAATTTAAATTTGGGATATTTCTGAAACTAAGCCGTTTTGGGACTTCAAATATACCAAGATATGTGTATTTGACACCAAATATCAATACAATTGTGAAAATAGTAGCGCAATTCATTCTATAGCGACGCAGTGTGCCTTAAACCTTTCCCAGACCTATATATTTTGAAATTATCCTTTTAATACTGAGTCCCCAGCATTCATAAAAAATGGTGTTCAAGGTGCACTTTCTATACAAATTATTTTTGCATCTTGGAAGCCAGGCAGTATCTGTGTGATTTTATAAAAATTCGGAAATTTTTTCAGATATGAGCCCCCTCTAAATATTGGGTGCGGAGCAGCTCCATAAACGTAGCTCCGCACCCAATATTTAGAGGGGCTCATATCTGAAGAACATTTCCGAATTTTTATAAAATCACACAGATACTGCCTGGCTTCCAAGATGCAAAAATAATTTGCATGGGTAGTGTATCTTGAACACCATTTTTTATGAATGCTGGGGACGCAGTATTAAAAGGATAGTCTCAAAATATATAGGTCTGGGAAATGTTTAAGGCATACTGCGTCGCTATAAAATGAATTGCACTACTATTTTCACAATTTTATTGATATTTGGTGTCAAATACACATATCTTGGTATATTTGAAGTCCCAAAACGGCTTAGTTTCAGAAATATCCCAATTTTAAATTCAAAAATGACCGTTAGCTCCGCACCCTCCGCTCATTTGCGCCGCACCCAATATTTCCCACAGGCTCTGTCTGCATAGGGTGAATATTGGGCTTTTGATTTCAGTTTATTTCTATTCTGCAAAGTTAACAGCATGAAGTTTATAACAGGAATATAACTTTTGATGAAATCTAATTTGAATTATTTAGATGTTCTATGACACATCAAGGCATGATTGCACGCAATATATTTGTAAATAAACTTTAGGTATCATTTTTCATTTTGATCTGGTCATGCCTTATTTGTTGCCTGTGTGTATGTGTTTTTGTGGTCATTTTTGGCAATATCACTTAGACCCATATTTGGACCCATATGAGTTTGAGATCGCCTTATATGGTACTTGTAGAAAAATATCCAAGGTACTGTACTATTTGGTTTACGTTTTAAAGCATCTGGCAAAGCTCGACGCCATCTTGAATGTAGCGTTGGCGCATGGACCCAATGGACGTCATGTACGACGTCATGCGGGCGGGGTCACAGTGTAAGAAAACGCATGCTCGAGAATCAATCCAATACTAACTGCCATCGTAAGCTACAGCAGAAAAGGACGTGCAATTTGCAAAAGTGTCGTAAGTTTATGGTGAAAGTTCTAGTTAGTGTGTTATCTCATTCACAATGTGTTTCTGATACCCTGTGTGTAGAATTACTCATAGTTAATCTTTTGCTTTGCAGGGCTAAATCCTAGTTGTTTTATTCCTTAGTTCATGGTTGGTTTGAATGCTAATTGTTGTGTTCTTGTAATAATATTGTATTTCATCATGTTATTTGTTTATCACCCTTCTCTCATTTATAGGCTTTCACAACATATAGATGCTTATAAGTACACTTAGTTTTTAGTCACATGCTTTTGAATATCTTTAAATTGGTATATATCGCTACATTTGTAATACTTCTATATATGAAGTAAACAGGGACAGACAGTTCATGATTTGTCTGAATTTATCCATGTACAAGGTGGTCAAAAAATGGCAACCCTAGATTTTTTCCTAATATCTTTGTCATTCTAGGAAATAGCTCCCTGATATTTTACACTTTTGTACATCATTCAATTACCATATTTCATGACCATCAGACTTCCAAATTGATGCACTGGTAAACTCTAACAATTATGTATTCTTGGGGAGCCGATGACTTGATGAACTAGTGGAGAGGCATCTAAGATCCTTTACCTTTGATGATGTCAACAGATGTGCAATAACTGTCAACATCAAACTCTATTTTGTGATTCCCATGAAGTTCTGGGGGCCATTAGGTGAACTCAGGGGGGTTGATAGGCAGCAGCAGTGGTTCCAACAAGACAGAACCATACGCCATACCCCAATGATGCACAATAATGGCTTTGGGACCACTTCAATGACCACATTATCAGCTGTACAACAAACAATGAATGGGCACCCCATAGCCCAGATATGGACCCATTTAATCTTTACCAGTGGGGATACCCATAAGATAGAGTGTAGGGTAATAACACCAGAAAGACATTTGACCTCAAAATAAAGATCAGATGTGTCGTTCAGGTCATACTTGCTGAGGAATACAGTTATGTCATTGACAGGTTTGGAAAACAATCTTCATGAAATAACACAGTCTAGTACAAAATTGAATGATGTACATGTGATTTTTTGACGACCCTGTACTTCATACTTGAAGAAAGGTTCATTGACTTATATACCCATTGATCTGGAAACATGCCCATGCTTTACTGGACTACTTTTATCCATGGACATGTAGAAATGTCCAATATTTGCTTGACTTCAATAACGCAGATGCGAGTAGGTAGTTACCAGTTTCCCCACCAGGTGGCTCGTTCGGGTCAGATAGCATGGCGGGTATAGTAGAAAGTACCCTTTAACTTAAATTACATCTGTTTTTGTGGTTCAATTTTCATATAACCCTTATGTATCTAATAGTTATGCAAATCAAAATATGTCCAGTAAATGAAAATGTTATCTGACCAATACAAGAAAAGATATTTCACTTTTTGTGATTTTGTAACATGGGCTCTATGGAGAATCAACCCGAACTAGAAGTCACACTTTCAAAAATAATTAAATTTTCAAACTTGATAAACAATTTTCGAAACCATATTTCTAGATGTACTTTTACATGTAGTTTTCAAATATAACATCGCTTTGACGGAATTTTGAGTATATTATGGCGTAAATCAAGTTTTTTCTACTCGCATCTAGTCTATTAACCCATTGACTTAAGAAATGGCCATGATTTATCTTATTCCATTAGCCATGGACTTGTAGAAATGATCATAATTTATCTTACTCCATTAGCCATGGAAAAAAAGAACATTATTTACTTGACTCGAATTTACCCATTGGCAAAAATAAATTTGAAAAATGTCCACGATTTACTTGCCTCCATTCATTTGACTCTTTACCACTTTATATATATGCATATCGATTGAGGCTGCTCTTGTTCTTAAAGCTGGCCTATAGGCTGTAACAGAACCCCTGCTTCATCCCTATTTAGATGCTTTTCTGTTGATTTTCTCTCCATTTTATGATTGTATTAAATTGGCACTTACTGTACTCTGACAGTGTAGTAAATCTCATCATTTTGTAAAGTTATGTAAAGTTATGTTCCATTTTGAATACATTTTTCCTTCATTGCAGTATATGTAATTCTTACTGTATCATCCATCATCTTACTTAATTTTGAAAATTATATTATTTCACTTTCAATGATATGTTTACTTATTTTTGTTCCTATATCTTGACACGAAAGTGTAATGAAATAGGTGTTACAAAAAATAAAGTCAGCATTCTTCACTGCTGAATTGTCATTTACATCTTTCTTCTTCCATAGCTGTAGACTTTTGGATACCAGACTTGATCGCAAGTCTTATAGATACACATGTAAAATGTGTGTAGTATTTTTAAGATGTAGATAAAATAACACACTTTGATTGTTTTACTGTGCTCTGTACAATGCACATTTATGTGTTTCGTGTGAAATCACAAATACACATAACATATAAATATGAATTGATTGCCTATATAATATGTTGGTAAGCAATGAATATGAATTGAAGGGCTACATATATTAGTGATAAATATGCAATAAATATGAATTGAAGGGCTATATATTGGTGAGCAAAACTCATGAATTGAAGGGCTATATATTGGTGAGCAATAAATATGAATTGAAGGACTATATGATATATTGGCCAGCAATAAATATGAATTGAAGGACTATATGATATATTATTGAGCAATAAATATGAATTGAAGGGCTATATAATATATTGGTTTGCAATAAATATGAATTGAAGGGCTATATAATATATTGGTGAGCAATGAATATGAATTTAGGGGCTATATGATATATTTGTGAGCAATAAATATGAATTAAAGGGCAATATGATATATTGGCCAGCAATAAATATGAATTGAAGGACTATATGATATATTTTTGAGCAATAAATATGAATTGAGGGGCTATATAATATATTGGTTTGCAATAAATATGAATTGAAGGGCTATATTATATATTGGTGAGCAATGAATATGAATTTAGGGGCTATATGATATACTTGTGAGCAATAAATATGAATTGAAGGGCAATATGATATATTGGCCAGCAATAAATATGAATTGAAGGACTATATGATATATTTTTGAGCAATAAATATGAATTGAGGGGCTATATAATATATTGGTTGGCAATAAATATGAATTGAAGGGCTATATGATATATTTTGAGCAATAAGTATGAATTGAGGGGCTATATAATATACCGGTATTGGTTTGCAATAAATATGAATTGAAGGGCTATATAATATATTGGTGAGCAATGAATATGAATTTAGGGGCTATATGATATATTTGTGAGCAATAAATATGAATTGAAGGGCAATATGATATATTGGCCAGCAATAAATATGAATTGAAAGACTATATGATATATTTTTGAGCAATAAATATGAATTGAGGGGCTATTTAATATATTGGTTGGCAATAAATATGAATTGAAGGGCTATATGATATATTTGTGAGCAATAAATATGAATTGAAGGGCTGTTAGTATATTGGTGAGCAATAAATATGAATTGAAGGGCTGTTTAGTATATTGATAAGCAATAAATATGAATTAGCAACAAATATGAATTGAAGGGCTATATAATATTGGTGAGCAATAAATATGAAAAAGGACTGTAGTACAACATCTTATTTGAATCTAGAACTCTGTAAAATTGTTAGATGAAACTGTTTTCACTGGAATGTATGTTACTTTATGAAAATCGTTCTTGACTTTTTGCGGTTTTGAGATTGTCTGAGCGATAAAGTATAGTATATGGCCCATATTTAACTATAACTGCTGTAAAAATTTGATTGACCTGCATGATGAATAAGGCCTCAATGGAACCTTTCATGTTCTCTATTTCCAGCGGTTGACTGCCAGCTAGGAGAATGGGGACCTTGGACTCAATGTGGGAAAACGTGTGGTGATGCAATCCAGGAGAGGACTCGACCAATCGTAAAGCAGCCTCGTCGAGGAGGCCAATACTGTGAGCCGACATTGGAGAGACGCTATTGTGTGTTACCAACATGCCCTGATTTATCTAAGGTATGAGATCAAATAAATAAATATCAGACTCCAGGCCCGTAGCCAGCTCTCACTTGGGGAAGCAGTTTTACCAAGGGGGAACTTTTGCCAATGGGGGAGCTTTTTGACAATTTTTGCTAAAAAAATCATGCGAAAAGTGCTCAGAAAAACTGCATGATTTTGAAAAAATTCTTGCCGCTCCCATCCCCCCTTGGATACATGTATGTGCCTGGACTCACACTTCCAGTTATGTCTCAATCAGCATTCTCATTACATTTGTTCATGTATCTGTTTTTTAACTAGAACAGAATTGACAGAAAGCTGAGATCTCTCACAATGCTATATCAGCATCGCATATAGTGTAAACCTAACCAGATGTCCCTTGTCATATATTTTAATTCCAAGAGCACATGGATATACCTCTATGCACATGTAGTTTGTGAACTTTCAGGAGGGATATACAGATTTGAGATGTTTTGTTCGGGGATTTGCTACTCGGAGAGCTGTGTTTTTTGTTTTTCTTGTTTCTATCGTATTATAATTGAAATGACTAGTGATTTGATTAACCATTTTTCGTTCTTTGGGATTTGCTTCTTCCTTAAATGCGGATCCAATCTCAAAATACTTTTTTTTTATTTCAGAGAATGTCTCGAGAGCAAAGGCAGAAGGAATTAATGAGGGCTCCAAGAAAACAAACACGTTATTAATAACCATGGTAACAGTACATGAAGCGACCATGGCAACAGGAATGCCAACTTACAATATAGTTCTGGTTGTATAACACTAACCTCTTTATGGAAGCAATGTTGTAAAATATGGCAACACACAATGACAGACCATGTTACCATAGGAACCCATAATTTGGTATATGGCAATCCCATAGATATCTTGGCAACATCATGGTTACCATAGCAACATGTTAGAAACTATACAGCAGATAAAAGAAGAGCACAAACAGTAAATGGAATCAAGATTGAAGCCGAAACTGATGAGGGTAATAACTCAAAGACACACATTTTTAGTTATTGAAGGAAATGCTGCATGGGCTAAATGAAAATATGTAAAAGCTTAATTGAGGATCCAGGACTATTTAGACTGGGACCTCTGACAGTGGAACTTTTGACATTGTTCATTTTGACAGCATTTATTTGTATGTCATTTACATTGTAATATTACATTGTAATATAGTGTAATTATAAATATATATTTTATCACATGCATGTTGCAATATGTACACAAGTTGAAACCTTTTGTACAAAATATAGTATCCCATTTTTTTCATTTCATTTCTAGAATTTACTTTTATTAAAATACTATGTGATTTTAAGAATATTAAATTTGGTGCTTGTGTACAAGTAGAGACCATAGATAAGTTAGAGAAGGCATTATTAAATGTGATACAAAGTTTGCTTTGGAGAATGAAACTCCTGTTGACCAAAACATATTTTGTATTTTACTGACTCCATTTATATAAAGAAATGTACAGAATACAGTAACAAATAAAGTTTATTCAATAAAAAGAATATTCAAGAGTTAAATTACTATTTGATAGCATAACCTTGAAAATATCCTGACTTACAAGTGGTGAAACGAGTTAAAACCAGTTATAGTGATTTTCACTGATTTTGAAGTGCCATAAGTAAGGCTTCTCCTTTGGAAGACAGTGACGCACTGGGTCTGATGAGTTAGACTATTTGAAGTTTTAACTTACATCAGATTACAATCATTACATCAATGCCAGATTTTTCGATTCACGCTGAACCTAATCATCGTATGGACTTTTCGAAACAACTCATTGATAGAGTAGGTAATAGCCTATACTCTGACTGTCATTTTGGAACTGCATATGCTTCGATACAGTCCAAAACACGTGGATAAATATTTTTTCTTCAAGCCACGTCATTGCAAATCGAACGTGTTTTGTGCTTGGATATTACATTGGATATTATTTTTGATTATCATCTTGGACATAAATACACGAACACACGTAAGTTTCCTTTACTGATATAGTATATGAGTGATCGAACGATTATACTACACACACCAACCGAGTGGAGGATTATACGTTATACAGCTAGATTTGTACAGCACTTGCCCCAATCTTACACAGCGACATCTTTTCTGCCTGCAGTAAACATAATAAAACAATGCAATCATTAATGATCATCCATCAATGATTGTCTACTAAAATGCCACCCCCCACACCTAGCTGTTATATCGACCCAGCTTTGGAAATTGATTCCGACGGCGATGATTCTGATGACTTTATATCAGGTGGTGCTGAGAGTTGTGATGAGACTCAGCTTCCCCATGCAACACAAACTGAATCGGATATTATAAGTGAAATAAGGAACCTATGCGGCTCTGCAACTCGACATGAGTTCGTCAAACGTATAAACGATACACTCGATATTCACTCTTTAGTAAGCACTCGCGAGGCACTATATGACTACGCACGAATCAACAGGAGAAATGCGATGCCACCAGGCGCCTTACTGCGTCGCCTTCCAAGTAGGAAAAACAAAGCCGTCAGTTCTGGCGTTAAGGAAAAGGTGTCAAATGATATATACATCTTGTTTCAATTTATTGAAGGCGCTGCAAATATTTCTGAGTTAAAAAGCATTCTGAACTCTTCATCAAAAAATCGGAAATCGACGGCCTACAAAACTACTTCAGACGACAATACAAGCGTAATTCAACCGTTGGCACCTGATCAGTTGGCTTCACTTCTTACAAATGTTGTTGATTTTAAATCATTCATGTCCGATGAGCTCAGCGGTATAAAATCTGATATGACCAAATTAGCCAAATCAAATGATTCGAAACTAAACTTAATCAAGTCTGAAGTAACTAAAATCAGCAAATCTAAAGAGAGTGAACTTAAAAAGAAAATTGATATCATGACAAATGAACTAAATCGCAGCAGAGACTGTGAAGCAATACTCAAATCAGATCTGTTGCTAGCCAAACAGACTATAAATGAACAAAAAACAGAAATTGACAATCTAAAAAAAGATTTGAAAAGTGTCAACACTAAAGTTTATAAAAGCATGCAAACCATACAAAATAAAATTCATGAGCTTGAAAAAACAAATCGACAAGTTAATCCTGACGTCATCAAACCTGACGTCATAAAACCTGTCGAAGCGATGTCCGACGTCGTCCCTGCTACAACCTCCTATTCTTCAGTTTGGGAACCCAGCTCACCACCTTCGAGTATTATGGCTTCCAACCATCTGCCAAGCCCAACTACCGATAGGCTTACAACATACAGTGCTTCATCTGAAGCCAAAACTTCCACAAATGTACCCTCGTCTATTACCTCATCTCAAAATGCTGCACCCTTGTATACTTCAACACAGCAACGGCCACGTTCTACCTCAGCTGTCGCCTCAATCATCGCTTCAGTTGCTTCCGAGTCAACTGGTTCCTCTTCTTCTAGATTAACAAGATCGGCTCCACAAATCAAGTCACAGTCACACAAGCCATGGCCTACTGTTCAAGCTGCTGCTCACGCTCAGAAACAGTCTTGCGCAACAGATGATGCCTCTCCATCAACTAGTACATATACACGTAATCGGAGTTATATGAAAGCTTCACGTCCAGGACCCATTCCAACTGTTATTGGTGTCCACAAAGAAGTCAGTGCTTCGATAGAAGAATGTGACGAAGGATTCACTGGCGTAAATGTACGGAGGCAACGTACGAAAAAAATTCTTCTTTCACATGTAAAGTCAGTCCCTTATAATGCTCTTCGTACACACATCGTCAAATATGCAGCTCGTCGTCATGTCACTGTCACTGGATTCAAGGTGATTTCTCGCAGATCCTCCGTGAAAGGAGAATGGTTGATGGTCAGAATCAATGTACTGGCTAGTCATTATAATAATGCCACTGACAACTCTTTCTGGCCTAGCAATATCACTTGTAGACCTTGGCTGTCATCAACTGATCATGCCAAAACTGTGGCTAACAATGCATCAACAAATTGTGACTCTCATGATTCTGTCCATAGTGATGATTCTTCGAGCTACCCATATCTTGATAATTATAACAACGAATCTTCACGGGAAAACGAAGCAGCATGGGGTGATGACGAGTATCATGATCAAGTATACTCCGGTTCACTTATGCATGCCAGTTCATTACCTATATCAATCGTATGAAACCGTATCTTATGCGACTTATCATCTGGTTTATATCCTTGGCATTTATGTCAAATCTGCTGAAAATCACAACTTGGAATTGTAAAGGTGCTATGTTCGGTAGTCCTTATCTTACAACTCTCTTAAACTCGTGTGATGTTCTAGCTCTCACAGAGCATTGGCTATTTCCACATAACTTACATTTTCTTGGCTCTCTTGACAATAGATATACCTTTCATGGCACCTGTGACAAAGGCTTAGTGAACAACGTTGGTTATTGCCATCGTGGTTACGGCGGTGTTGCCTTGGTTTACCGTAGAGATCTCTCTGTTTTAAGTAAGCTAACATATAACGACAGAGTAAGTGGCATAGAATTGAAACATACTGAGGATCTTAGTATTTTTGTTTTCGTTGTGTATTTACCTGCAGTGAATCATTGCTTGCAAGAGTACAAAGAATGCATCTCTGTTTTATACGAAATATTTGCCACTTATTCCCATCGCGGTATGGTAGTTTTTGCAGGTGATTTCAACGCCCATCTTGGTGTTAATAGTGGCCCCCGGTGTAGGAAGTCGATACCGAATGACAGGGGCAAACTTCTTGAGCAATGGCTCTCTGACTGTAATCTCTTATCAGCCAACGCTCAGGAATCGACTTCTGGTCCGTGGTTCACTTATTATAGTCATGATGGAAAACATAAATCTTGTATAGACCATGTAATCATTCCTAATGCTAAGCTAGATCTAGTGTCTTATTGTAAAGTACAAGATGATCACTCACTTAATATCTCGGATCATCATCCAATTGAATTATACCTCAAAGTCCAGGCGCCATTCGTTTCACTCGCACCTTGTCTAACACGTAATATTACACGTTGGCGAAAAGCAACAAAAGATCAACTTATCTCTTACGCCAACACGGTCAATCAGCACTTATGTAATATCATGACTAGTCCTTTAGATACAGATTCTCAAATTAATGATTCTGTTATTAATCTTTCAAGCATATTAACCATGAGTAGCAATACTCACATTCCAAGTTCCAAATTCAGAAAATTCTTAAAACCATATTGGAACAAAGGTGATATTGCACCTCTACACAAGGCTATGAAGCGAGCTAGAAACGAGTGGATCAGTTCAGGTAGGCCTCGTGGTTTTCAACACGAAACATACCGTTTATATAAATTCCAGAAACGCAATTTTTCTAGGCGCTTGAAACAACTTAAATTTGAATATGACCAAGAACAATTGCAAAGCTTACAAGATGCTGCAGAAGTCGATAGTGGTTTGTTCTATAGATTGGTCAAGCGATATGGCAAGCAACCTACTCCGAATGTTGGCCATGAACTCAAAATCGATGGCAAGATAATTCGTGATCCCGCAGAAATTCGTAACGCATGGGCTGATCATTATGAATCTCTGGGTCGAGAATCCAGCTTTCCACATTTTGATCACGCACACAAAGCGGAAATAGATTCTCAATTTCCTGCGATGCTTGCTCAATCATTTCAATCAAATGACGGTATTTTTGAGACGCTAATTGATAATGACGAAGTCTTGCATAGCATCAACACATTTAAAAATGATAAAGCACCGGGACACGACTTAGTCGTCATCGAGCATCTAAAACATAGTGATAGGCTAGTCATCGATTTCTTGACCAGAATTTACAATGCTATTGTCAAAGTTGAGAAAATCCCTTTAACTTTCAAATTGGGCATTATGTTATCTCTGTTCAAAGGTAAAGGCAAAGACTCGACTGACAGGGATAATTACAGGGGCTTAACCTTGTCCTCCTGTCTGTACAAAATATGGGAAAGAATTCTCAGCATCCGAATGATCCCTAAACTAAAAATCAAAGGCTGCCCCAACGCTTTACAATTTGCCTATCAAGAGGGAAGTAGTAGTCAGTTCGCACTCTTCGCTCTCAAAGAGATCATACTTCACTACAAGGAACGTGACTCTATGGTATTTTCGGCATTTCTTGACAATCGCAAATGTTTTGATTTATTGTGGAGGAAAGGGTTATTTCAGAAAATATTCTCACTCGGTATCAATGGAGTAACATGGAGGCTAATCGTAGAAAGTTATACTAATACCACTGCACGTGTATTATACAATGGCTCATTTTCCCGGGAATTTAGTATTTATCAGGGAGTTGGACAGGGAAGAGTGACTAGTTCGATTTATTTTTTGATCTATATTGACGCACTCATAACTGAGCTTAAGGAAGCGCATTCAGGTCTTAAGATAGGTTCGTATGATATTCCGTGTATTTTGGTGGCAGACGATACTACTCTTCTAGCTTCCTCTGCGCATAATTTGCAAGTTCTGTTAGACATTGTATTTCGCTACAGTTCAAAATGGCGTATGGTTTACCACGCTGGTGATAACACTAAAAGCTCAATTTTGACATTTAATGAAACAAAGCAACAGTTTTTTCGAAGCAGAGGTAGTCGTCAGTGGCTACTAGGGACTGATATAGTACCTGAAACTCAAAGCACAAACTATGTAGGTAACCTTATCACTACTAACTTTGAAACCGAAAATCTGGTTAACAACTCAAAAAAGAAAATGTACTCAAAATTTTATTCGATCAAAAACACCTTGCGTTTACATAAATTTGGCGCTAATCCACTTGTGTTCATTAGACTATGGTATTCTATTATATTACCCACTGCATTATATGGTTGTGAGTTATGGTACAACTTGTCACCGCATGATGAAGATATACTGAACACTGCTCAAAAACATATATTCAAAGTAGTTCAAGGTTTTGAAGCGAGAACGGCATCAGATGTTGTTCTGGCCACTCTTGGTGCAATATCTGTATCGAGCTTCATTGAGAAATTGAAATTAAACTTTTTGTCAAGATTATGTCGATGCAATCATGAAGTTACAAAATACATATTCCTGTTTAGATTCTCGTCCCTACTCACAAACCCGGGAAACAATCACTTTGGTTTTGCTAAAGACGTCATGAGCATTGACTGTGATATTGCACGGAGTGTTGCAGAAACCTTCTTGCTTACCGGCTCAATTATGAAAACAGTTTTGTTTAAAAAAGCATCGCATTTCCAAATTTTCAACAGAGAGGAAAATAAGTGGCTTTCAAGAATGGAAGCCAATGATAATCTGCATATTTTTAGGAACATTCACTGTAAACTGGAACCAAGCTTCGCCTGGGTCGTTGGAAAACGATACCCATCATATCTATGGCAATTAGCCAACCTGGTGCAGCTTTCTGCAATGCCTTCATATAAGACATTCACATGTAAGAAATGCAACTCATCGTGTAATTGTATAATATTTCATTTTCTGCATTGCAATCAATTTTTATCTGAGAGAGACGCATTTTTTGAGCGACTCATTGATATCTTACCAGTTCAAGATAGTGTTATGCTTTTCAATTTTGATGATGATATTTTCTTACAGACTGTTCTGGGTAGCAGAATAGATTTTGATGTAGCCAATGACACCATTTATGAAATGTTCGTTATCGAATGTGCAAATACATTTTACAATATAAATATGTATTTCAAATAGGTACGCTTGAATTGTAATGATAAAATGTATTTAGAGTCATTTAACTTGTAAATATGTAAATATTAATAACCCTTTACTCTTCTGTAATATATGTTTGTAATGTGATATGCATGTATAAATTGTTTTGCTCTCCAATAAAACGGAGGAAATAAAGAAACATAAACATAAACATAAACTGTTACAGGTGCATCTGTTCACCTACTCCCTTGGAATGCAGTAAGATAAGTCAGCCAATCAACCAACCAACTAACCGACCAATCACATTTTATTAAAAGAGAGTTTGTTCCAGAGAACATTCATGTGATTACATCACATCCTAGCAGCCAACTCCATGTACAAAAATGACAAACACATATCATATTATATACCAGTGGGTAGGTAATTTAATTATCTTTAATTTGGTATATCATAAGTTCTTTGTTATAATGCCTCAACCAGCATCCACACACAATAATGATATTTAAAATACAGAAAAAACTAACTAACTAACCAAACTTATATACAGTACTTACAAATTAAAGGCAGAATCTGATCTATAGGGGGTGACAAAATTACATGCAACATGTATAATTGACCTACCAATCTATCCCTTACAATATCAAATACAATATCTTGCAAAAGATTCACAATATGTTATAAATTGGTGAAGTTATTAATGATTAAAGTGCAAAAAAATGTTTAAATTCACCCAAATAATAAGAATGGTAACCATTCTTATAGAAAAATAATACATTATTGTAAAAATCTTTAGTTTTCCTGGAATAAAGTATGCACTTTTGTGATTTTTAGAAAATAGACATGACAAGGAATGACATGAGCCAAAAATATTCTAAAATTGAAACATTTTTTTGTTTAGCCTGCTCGCTATATCTGATTCTCTCTTTGAACTTGTGTCATCTACATGTTCACACCTACTACAACATACATTACATACATACTCATTACACTTAGTAATGGTATCAAAATGTACACACTAAACCCAATGATACAAAATATTAATCCTCAAAGGTTCACACTGGCTGAAAGGATTATATTTTATAAGAAGTTTTAAAGGATAGGTATTGATATGGTGAACTGAATTCAACAATGTTTTTCTCTTAAACCAATTATTGAAAACATTCTGTAAAAAAAACATGGTCCTTTATGTAATGTTGACAACAATTTAATGCGGAAATAATTCATATGTATTTTATGTAACTGTTTTTGTTAAAAAATTTTGTTTTTTAGTGCAATTGCTTTTTGTTCCTTTTTACTAATTTGTCAGAATTAAATAAAATATCTTTCCGAAGCTTGTTGGAACAAAATTGCATATACAACATTTTCTTAGACCTCACAATATTATATAGTTATACAAAGGAAATTTTGGTTGATTTCAGAAAAAGTATTCAAAAAATTAAAACAAAACCCCCAAAATAGTTAAAAATTATGATAAACCTTTTATTTCATTAACAAGATACTTTTTTAAAATCAACCAAACTTTCTTTTGTACATACAATATTGAGAGACCTAAACATGTTGCGTTTATGTCGTTTTGTTCCAATGAGGTTTGGATAGATGTTTCATTTCATTCTGAACATATGGTACCAAAAACCAAAAGAAGTGTCTGATGTGTTTTCTAAAATGAGAAATATGAACTTATGATATACCAAATTAAAGATAATTAAAGTTCCTATCTAGGTGTATAATATGACATGTTTTCATCAATATATCAATATTTATTTTTGAAATACAAGTGTCCCATTTTTTTGGACCAACCTGTACATGTGATTTAATAGACTTTGCAATAAACCCTGCCCAAGACAAGCCCATTTGCCAGCTTTTGCCAAACGGGGGGGGGGATCAAT